CACGCTATCTGTCAACCTTCTGAGATACAGTTTCCACCGTGACACGTGTGTTTAGATAGCCTGAAGGAAGGGTTAAATGGTAAATGGATTTGATCTTGTTTAGTTCTTTTCTTTAAGTTTAGTTTAGTTTATTAGGTGATTTGAATCAAGGACAGTGTACACAAAAAAAAACATTAATCTCGGAAGATAAAATATGCTTTGTACCAGATTTAGCTAACTAGCTTATTTCGATCTGCTCTCACTGGGCAGATGATGGAAACAGTAAAATACAGATCAACCAGTCATGCACACACACACACACACACTCACACACACATTTCATAAGAGAGAAGAAAGACACAGAACAATAAACAGCTATTAGAACATTATGTACAAGTTTCCCTGAGTTATAAAAGATGTCGAGATGACACAATAATGCTGACAAGACTGATTCCTTAAAATCCATTGAGCCGAATCTGTTGATGAAATCATAGAAGGTCACATGTCACATGTATCCTCGTGTCTTTACATTGGTTTGGCATGAGTTTCAGAAAATTGTTATTGTGTTTAGAGCCATGCGTGGTCGAGCTCCGGCTTACATCACTGATCTCCTGAAGACGTAGAGCACCAGCAGGACCCTGAGGTCCTCTGATCACGGTCTGCTGGTTGTTCTTCCCACAAGACTAAAAACAAAAAGGAGACTCGCCTTTGAAGCTGCGGCACCTAAACTTTGTAACTGTCTTCCTCCAGATCTGAGAGCGTGAACTCTGTGGACATTCTTAAAAAGCAGTTAAAGACCCTGATCTGTTTAAACTTGTCTTTGTTTGCTCTGTCTGTGTTTGATTTTAAAACTGTCTGTCTAACATGTCTCTGCTTTTTCTAATATTTTATGCTGAAGCACCTAGAGACGTCTGCTCTTGAAAGGTGCTAAACAAATAAACTTCACTTATTGATTAACTTATACATTATGCATACAAGAGGTGAGTATCCTGATTTTACTCTGCTGCTAAACACTCTTTAGTGAGCAGACAGAGATTTAACGTACAGAACAAAGGATGAAAACGTCCAAAAGGTAACTTGCATTTAACTACCAAACAATATAATAGTATACAGTCTAACTACAATATTTAAACTGATGAAATGATAATGCATAAATTATAATAATTCCTGTAATTCCTAAAAAAAAACAGGTTGTAGGTCTTGTTGCAGTAATGAGAGAAAAAGGTCAAATAAATAAAATTATTCATGTGAAAAAAATTATCTGAAGAGTTTTATGTAAGCTAAATATGATATGTATTCATTTTCAGAAATACAATTATTTTTTGTTTGTTTTTGGTGTTTTGGGGACAGTTATGTAACGGGATTGTATTACAAACTAGTTTGATGAAATGTGAATAAAAATGTTATAAACTGCCAATTACCTAAAGTTTTTCTCTCTACATTTTCAAAGAAATTGGTCTTGTTTATGTTATTTAAAATGTTCAGTGTTTATTACATCTGAAAACATGACTTCATGAGACTATGTTATGTGTTGTTTTGGTTCGGTCTGCATGGTGGAAACCGATCTCTCCTTCATCATGACTCCGTCCAATCAGGAGAGGAGGGGGCGTGACCGTCGGCTTCTTTCTTCACACTGCTGCAGTGACCACAACAGCGACCAGCGACGACACAACGAATGGCGGAGAAGTCAGAATAAAACACATTACATATAGGTAAGACATGAATTAACGGGGCAGAAATACCGAGACTTTTTTTTTTTTTTCCCCGGATGTTGAGTGTTTTAATTGGTGACGTATGTGTCGCGAGCAGCGCTGAACGTTCTGCAGAGCGTGCGTTCCATTCGGACTTCTTTATTAAATGTCCGAAAAACATGAAGACATGACATTATATTTAGCTTACTGTGTTAGAATAACTAAATGACTGCTAAATATCGATTTTTCCCGGCGTTATTACGGTGTTTTCCTTGCCGGTACGTTGTGTTCCAGGCTGAGGCTCAGCTCAGCAGCATGGCGGCCGCGATGAGCTGATTGTTATTAATGTGGACACAGAAGAGGGCATCCTGCGGGTTTTGGTCGTTATATATCTCTACATTGAACTCATGGTGTTGGTCTTTCAGTCATGGTTTCTTTACACGGTGTAACGTAAGCGATTTTTGACAACAGTCCGTGTGTTCAGAGGAATAGTTGGTAACTAATTATTCACACTGACATGAACAGGGACAATTTAGCATGGAGCCACCCTACAGCAGCTGGGCAAAGTCAATATGGTTTATGTACCCACAAGAAGTACGGAGCCCCTGAAGTCCCAAAAAGTAAAAAAATAAATATCTTGTGTGTACATATTATAACATAATATCTATTTTTGCTATATTTTATTTGGTACATATTTAAATGAACTGCTGTATGTTTTTGAGTTAGTGGTGATGAACTCTTGTGGCCAGAACATAACATCAAACAATGAAATGTTTTCCACATATGGGCAACTTATGGGCAGAAAGTTGCCCTGTTCAAAATAAAGGAGCTGAACAGTGTGCAGACCTTTAAATTGTTTTCTGCAATTAATACATTTTTTTGGTCCTGCACCTGTTTGCATTTTTGCTTGAGTGTGCACACACTAGTTTTCTCTTCTTAAGTAAGTCCTTCCTCATTATTACATTGTTTTCATGCTTGGAGTGCTTGGTTTCCCCTTTTGTTTTTGTGTTGTGTTGAAAAAGTATTGTGCACCTTGTGATGACGACACCACTGACATCAGAGATCTGTTTCAGGATTTCACTACTTTATAAGCTACACCACCAGACATTAAAGAATTCCTGTGTTCAGTCTTCAGCCAACCAAGACAAACGTTGTCAACGGCTGTTCTGAATATGCATAGCTTTAAAATGTTTCACAAAAGCTGTATTAAGAGAATGTCACTAAATAAAGCCTCCTTATAGTCAGATCTGAATCTAAAAGGTTATTGTTGCATGTCCTAAATGAGTGCAGACAAAACAAAAGTCACAACAACAAACATTTCTGAAGTTTCACGAGGGATTTGTCAACGGGTCGGTGCACCAGTTGCAGCTTGCTCTGCTGGGAAATGTTCTCTGGAATGTGTCCAGAACCAATTTCACATTCAAACGCTTGCATGGCATGTGTGGTTAGTAAGCACATCCTGCTGCACCACGGTTGATGGCAGTTCCTCTCTCCTCCTCATGCTATTTTTCCTGTTGTTTTCTTTTTTTGCGTTATGTACAGACAGCTGCAGCTATGGGCAAGTCCCAGTCACACTTGGCCAAGCACAAAGATGAGAGTCAGGACGCACTGACGGCCGACAGTCAAACGGAGGAGGATGGAAAGAACGGAGACGTTTCTCAGTTTCCTTACGTTGAGTTCACGGGGCGAGACAGCGTCACGTGCCCCACCTGTCAGGGCACCGGCAGAATCCCCCGAGGTAAAACATTCTACATTTAGGTGATCATCGCCACGAGTGTCGCCCTAAAGCTCAGGACAGTTTCTATTTCAAGCAAGTTGTTGTTGTTGTTGAGCATGTGTGCATGCCTTCAGCGAGGATGTCCACGAGGCAATAAGGTCAACTATGTATGCAAAACAGGACCTGTTGCAATCTATTCCAGAGCCACTTCAGGTAAAGAGAGAGAGACAACGTTAGCGTACTGAAAGGCAGCACAAGTAAACATCCCTTTCCATATTCATTTATTATTTTGTAAGAGGATATTTCAGGTTTTCTTCTGTTCGTTATTTTTCCTAAATCAAATGTGTTGCTCGATCAGTGTCACCAAGCAGGTTTCCTAAACAGATCTAATCATAGACAAGACACTGAATAATCAATGCAGAGACTTTTTCTGTCGTTTGTCTTGATTGGTTATCATACCAGCGATCAGAAGATTTCTTTTACATATGCACAGCAGTGTTGAATAATGCAGCACACTCAGTCCAGCAGTGAAACGGTCCTGTAACTTTCTTTGAATTATTCAACAGGACAGGAGAATCAACTGGTGGCCCTGATTCCATACAGCGACCAAAGACTGAGGCCGAGCAGGACGTGAGTATGCGCAGGGTTTAAACATTAACCGTGTGAGCTCTCTGTGTGATGAAATTCAATGCACAGGCGGACAAAAGGCAGGATAGACTTTGTTATCAGCAGGTTTTCAGGGTCTCACTTCTCCTTTCTCTCTCCTGCAGAAAGCTGTATGTCACGATATCAGTGGCTCTGTGCCTGCTGCTGTCTTGCCTGGCCGTTTTCTTTCTGTTCCCTCGCTCTATCGATGTCTCCTACGTGGGAGTGAAGACTGCCTACGTCTCCTATGACCTGGACAAACGAATCGTCTATCTCAACATCACTGTAAGAGCGTGTAGCCGCATTCCACTCAATTAAAATGAGACTGTAATACCTTGTAGAGTGATTTCAAAATGATGCATGTTCATCTTTATCTGCCGGGCCAAACCCTTAAAGCAGCTTTAATTTTTAACCCGCTCGAGAGAGAGAGAGGCTGGTTCTCCAGGTTCCTCATGTCAGGACAGGACCTGAATTTCAGCACTTTTATCCCTCATGGACACCCTAGAAATATTATTTTTAACCGCCCAACACCTGACTGTAACTGTTTTATTTGATTTTAATTACTGACTTATCATTGTAGTAATTTCAAGCTTTTAAATTATTTTAGTGTATATATTTTATTGTTCTTATTGCTCTTTTATTGATTTTATTTTCTGCGGTAGCTTTATCTCATTTCTCGTTGTTTATCATTTATGTATGTTTTCTCTGCATCATTGTAAATGAGGGTCGTCCTCAATGATCTCTGAGAACTTAAATAAAGGTTGATGATGATAATCAACGCTCGTACATTTAGGCTGCATGACCTGCAAAAGGGGTTTGCTTGAAGTGAGGAAAAGTTCACAGTCACTTGACTCTTCAGTTCAACACATTTTGTCCCACAGCTCGTTTTTCTGGCTCACAACGCTCATGGCTTTCATCAGTGCTGTTTCAATCTGCAGCAGAGAGCTATTTAAAACCTCCCCTATGTGCTCCTCCTCCCGACTGACAAAGTTTGCAACTAGCTGGTGAATAGTGTGAAGCATTTAGAGAGTGAGTGTTTCCCCTCCAGGACTTAAAGCTGCTAGGTAGGGATGTAACGATTCACTGAACTAACGATACGATTCTCTCCAGATTTATTTTACAAAATGAGACTGCAGACAAATGATGACTGAAAAAGATTCCTTTAGGGCTGCTTACCCGCTTGTCAGTGTGGTTTGGCCTTTTAATGTTTTTTTTCTCTCAACAAGGGGAGGTGATCGGAGCTTCTCGTTGTGGTGTGGATTAAATGCTGCATCATGTTGGTTGTGTTATTTGTGTAGTTCTCTGTCTTTCAATATTTGCACACAGTTTTTGTCTCGTCTGTTATCACCGCTCCTCTTTCATTTTTCTGTCTTGGGGAAGCCAAAATGCTTCCACCCTCCGATTTAAAAGACGGTGGTGCATCCTCAATTTCAAAATCTAGCATTTTATACATGTATATTGGTTGCAGCGGTGTATAAGACGCAGCTAAATTTTTGAGAAAAAAATAGGTCTTAAAAGTGAATCTTATACATCAGGTTTTACAGTATGTCACTTGTTATCTTGTTCTGATGCTAACAGGCGACTAAATATTTTCAAATATGCTCCAGATTGTGAAAACAACATGCCGGTGTATTGTGTGCAGAGCTACTTTCATGTGCAGAGCTACCCCCAAGTGTCCAGAATATCAGCGTCTTCAGGTTTAACATGCGTTACCTTGTCAAAGAGTGATTCTCACATCTTAATGTTGGTCCCTGCAGAGCACTCTGAACATCACCAACAACAACTACTACGCCGTGTCGGTGACCAACATCACGGCACAAGTGCAGTTCTCCAAGACGGTGATCGGAAAGACCAAGTTCAACAACAGCTCCGTGATCATCCCGCTGGATGAGCGGCAGGTAGGTGACAAAATGTTATACTGAACACATTATGAAGGAACTCGCTGCATGATGAATTAAAACATACAGATAGTAATAGTTGGTGTCCATTGATGGCCTTTTTGCGCTGGCAGCACCCACAACGTCAGTTTCAGAGCGCTTCTCACCCGTGTTTATTGCTGCTAGGTTACAAAGGTTGGCTAGTGGCACTTCTGCTTCCCTCTGCAGTCACCGCGAGGTCTGTTTTAGATTTTTCCAGATGCTTAATGTTTGCTTTTCTACTATTCTTTTATCAGACACTTTTATGCAAAGTGACGTGCTGTACATCAGAGAAGAAGTACAACACGAGCGAGGATATAGAGCGGAGGAGACAACATCAGGAAGTGCAAACAAACAGCTTTGAGTCTGATCGGACTCACAGGTGCTGACAGGAAGTGACCAGAGGCAGAGCACGACATCAACAGCTGTTCTTGAGAGTTCTAATCAGCATCAAAACCATCTTTAATATCGTGTCAGCAGCTTTTTATTCTCAAAACAAGGCAGCATCAGCTCTAGACCCTGGAAATTGTTCCCTCTAAGAGACGAGTCAGATTAGTTTTTGTAGACAAAGGGGGTATTGTAAGTCCATCTCCTGCTTGATTCAGGGTAGGGAGACGTGACATGGACTAGTGTGGCGGTGTGCCAAAAGATGAACTGTTTAGACTGAGAGCGTTGTGATTGCTCTGCTAAAAACAAACAGCTGTCACTGCGTTTTTGCACTTAGGGTGCAGAGCGCTGAAGAAGGTGGTGTGCAGTGGTTTTGTGTTGAAAAGGCTCGCTGCCAGCAGAACGATGAGAAAGGTCTTTTACCTGCTCTTTTGTAAAGCGTCTCGAGATAACACTTTTAAATTGGCACTCTACAAATAATGATCGATTGAACAAAACGGCGTTAATGGACGCGGACGGCTTTTACATCTGTTGTATGATGTTGTTACTACGACGTTAAAAGTCATGGCTGGTAGAATAAAAATGTGTTTAGTATCACACAGACTAGAAGAGGTTCAAAGATGTTCTGCAGTTCTGGGGGGACTATACATGTAGTTATAACTACGACTCACACAGCCTGAACAAAAGCTCATTGTTACAGCCATAGAAACAGAACAAAAGAAACCAAGGGCCCTCTTTTCATCTTTACTCTCAGACTTCTCGTGATGGTATTAATATCAGTTTTGTTTCTGCAACACTTCAAACTAATGTCTAAGCACCATTTAAGCCTCATTGTCTTAAGGTCTTGTGACAACATGATCCAACATGATTCATAACTTAACCAAAAGTCTGCTCTGTTCTGAGGTTGGAAGTGTTTGCAGCAGCAGGCAGCCGCCCGGACAAAGAGCAAGAAATAAAAAAAATAATAAACTATCTCAAATATAAATCCTGCAGCCATAAAAACAGAGCAGTGTCGGTCATACAGCGGCCGTTGTCAACACACTGTTGTTGTCATAGAGACAGCATGCTTCTCTCCTGAACACACAGCCAGCACCATGTGGAAACGGTGTCTTATGTTTTAATATTTAATAAGTCTTAAAAATGTGCTTATTTCAGATCGACTACACCGTTCCCACCACCATAGCCGATGAGATGAGTTACATGTTGTAAGTATTTTTGCAAAAAGTCTTCAAAGTGTTTTTGTTTACACGCCAATCCTTTTAAAACCACAAATCTCTTCTTCTCCTTTAGCGACTACTGCACCTTGCCGACCATCAAAGTTCACAACATAGTGGTCATGATGCAGTAAGTACGGCTTCATTTATAGACACTGCTCTGATGTTTTTCTTTACTCGATGTCATTCTTGACAGAGTGATTATATTCTCATACACCAACATGAATCCTGTGAACGGCCTCCTCCGCACTCGCATACTTCCACCCACACACGTGCTGCACGGCTGCCCAGAAACAACGCGCACCCTCTGTTGTGAAGCGCCCCGCTCGGACCAGCAGGGGACACACATTTGGGGATTTGGGTGCTCACTTTCCCGTCAACGCTGACATTTAAACAGACTCTCAGCGCAAAGCAAACGTTTCTCTGAAGCAGAAATCATTGTTAGTTTACTAAATCTCTTGAGGTCAAGTTCTTAATAAAGATTTCCAACAGAGAAACAGGAGAATGAATCCCAGTAAAGGAAAGAAGCAGCCGTTAACAGAAAACCTTCTCTTGTAGTTCAGTCACATTAACATCCAATCACATTTCAGAAGAAGGGCGATTTCCATCCAGATATCACAGAACAGCGAAGAACAGCGTGTGTCTCACCTTCACATCAGACGTCCAGCTGTTGACTTTGTGTTTTGTTTTTTTTTCCCCAGGGTCACGGTGACAACGTCGTACTTCGGCCACGCTGAGCAGGTCTCCCAGGAGATGTACCAGTACGTGGACTGCGGGGGGAACACCACCTCCTTGCATGGGCATGTGCAGGTCTACAAATAAGGCGAGAAAGGAGAGCGCAGACAGGTGTGCTGTGACTCTTGCAGAGATGACTTGGCTGACCTCCACGTCGGGAATCTCGGCTCATTAACGATGGAAACATGGACAGGGGTTGTAACCTTCTCTTAAATAAGTCACACGGCTCACCTCCTCTTTATTTCCCAACCACTCTCTTCCTTCGGCGCGTCAGATGTGATGTTAGAAAAAGGTATGTGCTGGTAGAGAAGTCAAATCTTACCTGACAGAGCCGGGATTTCTCAGCTTGCAGGATTTGCCTCGAGGTTTGAAATCCTGTTTCCACCCTGGTGCCAACATAAATAAACAGATATGGTTTTAATATTCAGGTCGACATTCCCATCACGTTTACACCCGTCACTCCTCAACAACTAAATAAACAGCTGGAAGCAGTTGACTCAGATATGATGCACTTTAACCCCTTACCTAAAGATACACGCTGAGGAAGTACCAGAGGAAAACTGCGGCTTAAACACCCTCTTTTGTTCACTACCACTTTGAAAACCACAAACCTGAGGGGCGGGGAGCTTTTTTAGAAAGTGAAACCACTGAGTGATTTTCTTTATTTTTACCATTATTTCATTTCTTCCAACAGCAGCCTCTCTTTTGATTAGGATTAATGTTAGGTGATTTGACATAGATAAGGGTTATTTTAAGTCCTCTTCTTTGGGCTCAGATTAGTTTTTGTTTCCTGCTTGAGTAAAGGTAGTCCAAGTCTTCTTCCTGCAACATTTACCTGAGTGATAAATAAGCGAACGTGACTACTGTGAAGACTTTAACATAGTGCAATGAATATACAGAATAACTTTGTAAAAGGGATCATATTTTTAATTCTAGGGGCAATGTGGGAGCCTTAAGGGTTAAATATACTTGCTTTTGAACCACGTGAATGCTTAGGCAACCGGCTGAGTTGTGAACGCAAAGGTTCACATACTGATGTACGACGTGTGATACTGGATGATTCCTCTAGAGGGAGCAGGGAGCGCCACATAAATCAGACGACGTAAAACACTGAAGTAGAGATGCATGTTTGTTACCATGCAACGGCAATGACACCTCATAGTGCGAGTAGTTGTGGACTTGATCTAATAACTTTTCTTTAAACTTTCCAACATTGTTGTATCGGCTCTCTGGTGTCTCCGATCTTGTCATTTCCGCTCTCATCACCATACATCTCTACACTGCTCCTAGTGGTTATGTGCATATTGGGTTAGGCAATGGCGTTTATTTCTGAGGTCGTGCACAACCAGCACTCCAAACCACTGCAGGATACACAAGGCCGATGTCGTGCGTTCGCGTAGTTAAAAGCAAGTATACTCAGGGCTTCAGGAGGCTGTAAAATGTGTACATGTTCGTGTAACATTTGAATTTGTCCTTCCGGCTTGCCGTTAAACGTGTTTAATCTCAAATATTTCTGCTGTGAGAGAAGCTGTCTTTTTCTTTTATGAGATTGTCCTATTTTTGTGGGCTGTGGTGTCATGCATTCACAACAGGGTAATTGCTGTATTTTATTCATTTCGCCTGCATCTTTAACACGAGTTGACTTCATCTTTTTTTTTTTTTTTTACTGATCATGATTCCTGTTTTACTTTCTTGTGTGGTATCATTTTAAATTGGCTGATAATTGACAGAAGTGGAAAATAAAACATGTTCAGATACTTGGAAATGTTTTTTAAAAAATCATGTAAAATACAGAACCTGACACCCGCAATACAACATGCAAGAAATGTGAATCATTCTCATGTACTGTAAAACTTCAAATAAAGGCCCATCCTAATTTAAAGCCCAGTCCCTTTTACTGGCCTGGTGTTGCTGCACGTTTTGACAGTCAGAGGCCTCGATGCATTTAGTGTTGAAGAAGTTTGCAGATCAAAGATAAGGAGGAAAAGCAGCACGACACGCAAAGATGAACTTCAACGTCCAAGAATGGACCAACCAACTCTCTTCAAAAGCTTGATCAAATTAGTGACTTGTAATTTTAAAAAAAGTAATCAATATACTCATTTTGTATTTGTACTCAGTTTAATATTCTTTCTGCTGTACATTGATAAGGTTTAAAGACTTCCTATCTTTGCTGTGCACGAGTTGTGTCTAAAAGTAATTCACGCCTGTCCCAAAAGAAGGCAGGCTCCTTTTATACCCTGAAGTAAATAAAAGCCCGGGCTATCACTTTGAAGTTTTACGGTACTTACAGAGAACTGTGGAGCCAACCTTTCTTGATATTTGCTTACAGGCAGCACAGTGTGTGATTTGTCTCTTTGTAACAACCTCTCTGCGATCATTGTGTTTCTGATGCATGAAGATGAAAAATAAAGTCAATACTTATTTTAATAGTGTGTTTGCCTGTTCTTGGGTGTGCCTGCAATACGCTCTGTAGACACTAGGGGGTGCTGAGAGGCCTGCATAACCAAGCTGCCTTTATTAGAAACAAATCCTGAGTACTTGTTCTTCACTTAAAGGTCCTGTGAGGAGTTTATAACTTGTTATGAGACAGACTGAGACTGATGCCTCTGTATCAGCGGCATAAACACACCAGCCAATCAGAGAGATGGTCGATTATTTCTCTATTCACCCCTGCTGCAGGGCAAGTGTCAGAGGGGGGATTAACAGCAGGCTGCCAAAACAGACTTCAATTCTCCCTGGCAGAGATTCATCATGAGTTGCATGTTAGACATTTATTTTTAAGATTATGTTGTATGCCTTTACTGTAAAGATAGGAAGGTGGATAGAGTCAGAAATCAGAGACCGAGAGGGAGTGGGGAGTGACAGGCCAGGAAGGAGCCAGATGTGGGATGTGAATCAGGACGGCCTGTTTCAAGGACTACAGCCTCTGTACGTGTGCACTGACCACTCGGCCACCGGCACACCCATGTTATACATTTAAAATTTTAAGACAAGACTTGTTGTCAGAATGAAACAGTACTCCACATGTACAGGGCAGGATCTGCAAATAGATCATTTGTTTAGTTTTATCAACAGGGGGCGCCAAAACCTACACAATGCAAATGTTCCTTACATGAGCTCAAGTTAAAAAAAAAAAGTGTCCTGGATGGACGAGAGAGTAATCACAAACACAGATCAACATGTCCTGAATCACAGAGTAGAAACGTCATTATTCAAAGCATCTTCATCCAACGCCTTCAATAAACTTTTTAAAAGATTGAAAACTCCCCCAGACACAGATCGTCCTGCAGGAGACTCCAAGGCAGCAGGAGCAGCGTACCTGAAACTCCTTTTCCTCATTTCAAGACACACTTTGGGAACAGATAACAAACAGACGTTTTGACAGACTGGCACCTTTCACGATCCACTCAGGATCAGGAGAGACCAACCAATTCCATCGACTACTGCATAAAGCTTTATCTGTGAGAGTCTGTCTAGTGTTCTGCCCGTGATCAACATTCATTCAGCATGTGAAGCAGTCCAGTCTCTCATATAGACCTTACAGCGGGGGCCCAAGTTGTCTCCAGTGTATCGTGGTATGTTCACATCTGTTGCACTCATTTAAACACCACTTCACTTCCTGTCTGAGCTCCAGGTCAGCGGTTTTGGACCAGAGCAACACAGGGATACACGCACATACACACACACACACGGGTAAGCATGATCAGATTTCCTTCTGTCAGTCTCTGTCGGCTCAACGCAGAGAACGCATTTTCTGTAAAGTATTGAGGATGATGGCAAAGTTACAGAAGAAAATGAAAGTACAGTATGTGTGACAAATATGAAGCAACAATAGTTGGAGTGAATTATTTCCAAATACGCTTCTTTTTGTTATCTTTAACTGCCCCATGTCATCTCTAACTCATAATAGAGTTAGGCCCAACAGAGCAGCGTCGGTCATACAGCTGTTGACTGTTGTCATAGTGACAGGACGGGGACGTGCAGCGCTTTTCTTCTGTGGACAGGTGGCCTAAGGGTTTAAGCATCCCATGGACGGTGTTTTCCTTTTTTCCTATTAGTCGTCAGATGTCAGCGTTCAGAGGCCCAGCAGAAGAGACAGAAACATCCAGAGCTGACTGGGTTGTGTTTTTGCCATTAGCGCAGACCTTCCTCTCACCCCATAGTTCATAAAGGGCTCAGCACTTCCCCTCACCAGGTAAAAGGAAATGACTTTTCCTCATGTGTACTACATGAACTCACAGCCTTAAAGCAGGTCTGGCTTTCTGCAAACATGAAACCAGTTGGCTCCAAACTGAAACTGTTTTGATGTCTGTGCCGAATCGACTGGCTGCCGTTTCCTCTCACAACAAAGTCGAACATTTCAGTCTGTTGATGTTCACATAATGAAACAACAGAAAGAATGACGCGCTTGTGTGTTCCAGCCGTGCAGCAGGTTAGCATACTGTATTAAAAAGCAAAATCTGATTCTTGATCGGTAACTTCATTTGTTTATCGATATCTAAATGCACTGTTAAATATTCCTTCTGGTGTAAATGTATCATTTTAGAGTCTTTCCCAACATCTGATGTTTGTTTAAACTTCATTAAAGGCCCGTCACGTATGGATGCCTGTCCCAAACAAGGTCATTGGTCATGATGTCATTTCAAACCCGTTCTGTGGACTTCACCCACCTGAGAGATCTGTGACCTTCCCCCAGCGAGCGCCATTCTGCCTCAGCTCCGAACGAAGTCTCCAGCGCAATGTGTGATCGTCCGTCGCAGGGGGCATTTTGGCTTCACTTTTGTACAGTGGAAAGAGAAAGTGACATGTTGTCCAGATTAATACACTCAATGAATTCAACCTTTTAAAACAAATGTCCATGTTCCTACTTTACTCTATGTAGCTGAGCAGATAGTTCTTATCAGCCTTATTTATTATGTATTGACCAACAATGAGATAAAAACATATTTAGTTGTTTAATAAGGTATATTACAGCAGAAAGTCTCTTTTTTTGATAACAATTATTTGACTGATATTTGTAATAAATTGTTCCCAACTTAATGTTTATTCACCTGTGGCTGCTTTCAGAATTTACTACACAGTTAAACCTCCTAAATTAGTAAGTCCCAGCCCCTGGAAGCTCTGCTCCCTCCCTCCCGGTTCTTTAACCTGGGTGTAGTGTCCCCGTCTCCAGCAGGGGGGGGAGGGGGGTCGGGGGGTGGGGAGATCTCCGCGCCCGTTGGGGGACTTTCAGCTGCATCTCCGTCCATCCCACCGCCTGTGTGTCTGTCCCTCTTCCTCTCCCTAGTTGAGAGATAAAACCAGAGGATCAAAATATGGGTTTTGTGGGTCTCGGTTCAGCGGTGCTTCTTGTTTCCATGACGACTCTTCTCGGCGTTTGCTCCGCGGGTTCGGACGCGCCTCGCGGAGTCGCGCTCGGGTTCGTTTTTGACCCCAAAGCGACGTGCGAACCGCCGTGCGAACACGCAGGAATCTGCATCCGAAACAACACTTGTTTCTGCTCCAAAGGCTACGAAGGAGAGACCTGCCAGTATGGTGATGTCACAGACCTTTTCTACGTTTATATTTGATTTTTGCTTAAGTTATGAAGTTAGTTGAATATGTCTTTGAATGGAAAGTACGAGATGTTAAGCTTCGACTTGTCAGTGCAAAAAGAAAGGGAAGCGAAGTTTAGTTCTGCCGACGCACAAATGTCTTTTTGACTTGAGGGAATTAATTTCAAGACACAAAATCTTTAATTACTATTTTTTAATTGTAATACAACATGTTTGTGTTTCCCTGTATGCAGCCAACTGTTATCCAAAATGCAAAAACGGTGGGGTTTGTCTTCGTCCTGGAAAATGCAGATGTCCTCCAGGATATGGAGGAAGATACTGTCACAAAGGTGAGCAGGCTTGTCTTAGTAAGACTTTTTTTCCAATCTGATATGGTGGAAATATACCCAAACACTCCAACACAAAGCTGTCCTCTTTAATAAGACATTTCCAGATGTTGCATTTCTCCAGCGGTTCAACCTTTACGTGTTTTAAGGTAAATGTAAGAAAATCAGTGAAGGATCAGAGGAGGGACATGTCTTATGTTATAAAACAACAGTTATATTTAACATGATTGGATTTAGAAAATGATTTTAACGTTATTGGATAATTATATAGGCTAGAGAATAAATGTAATGCTTTTCAAAATAAAATGACAGTATTTGATGTTTATCCACCAAATGTTCCTATAGTATGGAAACATACTTGTATAACTTTATTTATTGTGTGCATTAAACTAATGACACTTTTCCGTACCTCCACAGTGGAGTCAATCCTTACCTTTGGCTTTATCACTTCTCTTGATATGAGACATACTGTGAATAGTTTGCAACAAATCATTCAAGTTTGCAAAGTAAGACCATCGGGATCAAATTAGCAGATCTGTCTCTCACCTTCAGTAAGAGGAGCGAGACATCTTACAGAGTCCTTCACAAATGTGAGTTTGAGCTTCTACCCTCAGGCAGGAGAGACAGATCCCCAAAAGCGAAGTCCAACATGGGGAAAATTATTTTATAAATCTGGACATTGGCTCGTCTCTTGGGATTAAAACAGAAGCACAAGACTTAAAGAAATACAGACATACGGTAGTGATACTATTGGAATACTGAGATTATCATGCAACACAAATTAGAGGCTCATACACTGAAAATGTGACTGATGGGCCCAAAGATAATTGCAGGAATATTTTCAGGCGAGGGTCCGGAAGTTTAGGTTGATTGCATTTACAGAAGATTAAACTTAGATCAAACACTTTTTTCTGGATGAAAGAGTCTGGATGTTTTTGCAGTGATTTACAATGACAGACAGGACAGGTAAAGTCATTAACACCACTCCTGATTTGTGTGAATCTGTCGGCAGTGACGTGTGACGGCGGATGTTGGAACGGAGGAGAATGCTCCGCTGTGAACGGAGTGGCCAAGTGCATCTGCCCCTCAAGCTGGAGCGGCTCCAAATGCCAAGAGGGTCTGTTTTTTTTTTTTTTTTGAAGCCGAATCTAATTACGCCGTTAACACCACGGGTCAAAGTCACCAAATAGAGCGGCCTCCTCTCTCTCAGCTGCAGCTATTCATCAGCAGAGAACACTTTCAAATACCAGTTTTAAATGCTTTTCCAGTTTCAAGTTGCTGCCAGGACAGGAAGTAATGTTCGGTCTTCCTCTGTAGCATTTGGGTTTTGGATGACGTTTATGTTAACACTGCCCTACAAAGGCAAAAGGCAGTAACTTCAATTTTTTCAAAAATGAGTTTTTGTTATTTTTGGAACATTACAGATGTGCTTTATCATGTGGACAGATAACTTCAGTCAATTGTGTTGTTTTTTTGAGTAAATAGTAGGTTGTATTTGCCTTAACTTCCAAAAGCCCTCGAGAAACCAAGGCAGAGTCCAGTAACTTCACTTTGGGTCTTCGCCTCAAACTGAGTTAAGGTCTTCTGCCTTTGTTTTGCTGCGGATCAAAGTGAAGTTACTGTTTCACTGCAGTGGAGTTAAGGTGTTATGCCTTTGTTTTAATATCTGTCATCAAGCACTTCTGACACACACAGTAGCTTGACTAAAGTGTAGCGAAGAAATAGTGTTGGTTGTGTTATTTTAACCATGCAACCAAGTGAAATACAGCATCAAATGGAAGTTAATGCCTTTGTGCCTTGGCATGACCCCGTTATTATTGTACAGGCAATGCAAAGGCAATACCTTAACTTCCAAATAAGGGTCAAAGGTCATGTTTGAGCTAAAGATTTTTATGTACATTAATAACCTCATTAAAAAGACAAAGAATTGCCACATTTCCAATATTCTGCCTGCAACTCATTTGGCTGGACAACAAAAAGACTTTAAAGTCATTTTTCTCAGTTCTACACTCTGGAGTTAAGGTCTTTTGCCTTTGTAGGGCAGCCTGTGATTGATGATGGCGACACAGTCGTGCTGTTAAATTGCAGGTTGAGCTTGGAAATGTTACTGCAGAGTTAAACCTTCAGTTAAGTGGAGAAGCTAAAGGGGCAACGTTTTCACCACCTTCTTGTAGTTAAAAGTCGTTCCTCAAACAGATGTTGTACAGATTAATTTTGTTGAGCTCTCAGGATGTAATTTAAGCTTCTAAAACCTTAAAATCATGCAGATGAATAATATAGATTTGTCTTATTCATCGTGTCTGTTAACTAAATGTTGAGCTAGTAAGCGTGGTGAAACATAACAGCCCCTTTCAAAAAAGCATCTTTTGACATTTTAATGCTTTTCTGTTTCATGTGAATTAAATCAGGATATGTAATATTTTTAAATAATTTTTCCAAATGTTGACAATCCCTTCAACTAATCCAAATTGAGTCAAATTTTGTTTTAAGAGCAGCTCAGTACATTTATCTACGGTATAGCTGTTAAACTGCTGCTTTGCATGACATTTTTTTGTATTCCTTCTGTGTGCAGCAATCTGTCCTCAAGGCTGCAGGAACGGGGGACTCTGTGTGGCTCCAGGAATCTGCAGCTGTCCGGAGGGATGGCTGGGTGGCGCCTGCCATACTGGTGAGTTCAGACTGAACACTTCACACATGCATCAACGCACTTTACAAGCACCAACTCTTTTGTCTCCTTTCTTACTCTCCTGGTCGCTCAGCATTTTACTGTTTAGCTTTTGTGTGCACCGCTATGTCTTAAAAAAGTATTACATTGCAGATATCAGTTTGCAAATCAGCCAAGAAAGTAATAAGTTGTGTATTTTTGTCTGCTAAATAAAGTTTTCCACGCCTCAGAGTTTATCCAGATGTATCAGAAACCCAGACATGGAAACACAAAACAACAGTTCCTGGATTTGGGGTGTTAGGATTTACAAGCTCTCGCCCTCAATCACTCGTTTCTCAGGTTTCACAAAAGATTTACAACTTTTCTGTTTCTGTTGTGTCTTTTGTCTGTTTTTGTCTCGGCTGTAGCTGTGTGCTCGAAGCCCTGCCTCAATGGAGGGAAGTGCATTTCTCCAGACAAATGCCGCTGTCGCCCCCCTTTCTCCGGCGCTCGCTGTGAAGAGAGGACAAAGTCCCACTAGTGCTGGAGTCAAAAGTCAATGAGATACAATTACAATGGTAGTTTTTTATTAAACATTTTTTACTGTATGATTCAAAACATTGAACCTGTCTCATGTTCTCATTTGACTGTGTAAAAGTGTGTACTGTATTTTTGACATTGAGAGAATAAAAAAGTGAACTGCGTGCATTTTCAAAGCTCATTTCACAAAAACAAAATCATAAAAATCGCACATGTTTCTTTATTTTGTCAGATGGGGCGATGTCACAATATTAATGTTGTATGAAACATAGATCAAAAAAATGAAATCTATAACATTAAAAGGATGTCATTACTTTAAACCAGCGGTTCTCAACTGATGGGTCAGGACCGAGCCGCAACATCAGGTGTTGAAAAATGAAGCTGATGCAAAAAGGAAAAATCCTGCAGTTCCTCGAGTGTCCACTAGAGGCTGGCTGCAGAAGCACAGGAAGTCACATACACACCCATTCTAAAAAGCCTGTTTTTACAGCAGAGATTAACATGTTTACAGCCTGGTTCAAAAAACCAAACAGGTCTGATTAGTTCATGTCTTGATCGGCACACACTGTAAGGGGGGGTGAATGTTTTGATGACTCATCAGTTTTGATTTGATGAAGGATAAGAGTTATTCACAATAAGGCGTGTAGCTGACTTGATTGACAGGCGGGCGCGGTGTAAAGGTTTGTCAGGAGGCTTAAAACCCGCCTCAGCTCCAGCTCTCAGCCTGTCATTAGGTTGACTGAAAGTTAGGCTGAGACAGCATTTCCAACATGGAGACCGCCATCGATGGGACTCCAGCGCCCCCTGCAGGAACAGACGGGTGATGTTACTCAGGCCTCGTCAATAAATATTTACAGTCTATGGCCAGGACCCAAAAGGGGGTCACAGATCTGTTTTAAGAGACTCGCAAATGTGCGCCTGGAAAAGACTTGTGTCAAAAAGTCTATTAAGCGATTTTTAAACGTGTTTGCTTCTCTGTTCTTTTAAGTTTCTTACTATCAAACTGCACAATCTCTCATGAAATAAATCAGATTAGATGATAAATATCAGAAATGTGGGTCACACATTTTTCATGAAGAAGTTGGTGGTGGGTCCTGAGGCCAGACCAGTTGAGAACCACTGCTTTAAAGGAAGAACATTTGTGACTTTTTGATCCAGTAGATGTCGCCCTTGAGCACCAGCATGAAACCAAAACAAACTGCTGTTTGGCCACGCCTCCTTCATACTGAAGCCTCCGCTCTCCTCCAGCGACACACCTCCACCCCCTCTCTACTAGGGTTCGCTCAGAGCCGTTATAATGAGAATTCACCGTAATTAAACACCATTAAGTACAAGCGGCAGAAAAAATTGTCCTTTACTCAAACTGCAGTCACCTGTGTCCTGCTTTGTTGTGTTAGCATGCTAATGTTAGCGCTCTTCAGTTAGCTCGTAGCTTCACGTTGCATGTAAATTGACACAGAATGAGCGTGATGTAAAAACTCTTACTAACATCCAAATAATCAGTGAGTATGTTCTTCTTCTTCTCTCTAGTCCTTGACTAAAACAGCTTTTATACACAAGGGGAGGAGCCGGCCGTCCCGTCCATGTAAACACGGCTCTGACAACAACACAGCCAGCGGGACTCGAGCTTCTCTCTCATTGTAGACAGTCATGACTCAGAGACATTTACACAGGATAGACTGGATTTATGATATATTTATGTGAAACATGTCGCACATTCTTCCTTTAAAACAAGTTATTTGTGTTAATGTGCAACAGTCTATAACTTAAAGTTTGGGTTGGTAATTTACTCCAGATCCACTTTTTCAGATTCTGGTTTAAGTTGTCTTGAGGTCCTGACAGAAATGAATAACTCGTGCTCTGAAAAAGGAACAAAGAAAATCTGTCATCTGTAGCAGTTTGTAAGCCTGAAAAAACTTCAACCAATGTCTGCCACGAGGTACCAATCTGATGAACCAATCAGACGGCTCCCTGCTCGCTCTCTACCTCTTGTGTTCACTAGCTCACACTCAAAGCGCGTCACTGATGACAGAGTTCATACTGAGTTTACTTATCGCTGAATGAGACATGAGACGACGTAGTTTCTACACAATGCAAGAGATGAGCTGAGGTCCACTTCTGGATCAACAGCCCTCGTGCATGTAAGTGAGGGGGCGTGGCTTTTGAGGGAGCACAGAGGGGAGGGGGTGGGTGCAGACGGAGCACTGAGGAAATACTACTTTCAAAATCATGCTAGTTTTTTTACAATGGTCAACCCTGCCTTTAAAGGGGCCAAATCAAACAATATATTAAGGAAAGCAAATTAAAAAGTACAAACAAATTGCAACATATTTATATTAATGTTTTCAGTCAAACTAATTGATGTGTACCATCTAAATAAAGCGCAGTGAGTTAATCAAACTTACATTTTATCTCAACTAATAAACTAGCAGTGCGCATCCGTTTCATAAAAGTTAAACTAGGTTATAATACTTTGGTAATTGTGTGAAACTCATCACTGATTCGTTTGTCTTGTACTTCTCTCTGAACGACGCCGTGCGGTAACTCTGTGCGCGCTGCAGATGCTTTCCCCAGATGTGTGTGTCTCTCTCAGCATTGAGGTAGTGATTTACAGGGACGAACAGACAAGTGCAATACATCATGTCCCTCTGTTGGCCTTCAAATGTGCACGGAGCCACTCAACACACACACACACACACGGAGCCACTCAACACACACACACACACACACACACACACACACACACACACACACACACACACACACACGCACAACAATGCATGGTGCTCTCTTCTCGTCTTGTGCATTTTGTAGCTTCTTCTTTCATCCCATTCAGAGTCCTCTATCATACCTGTGAAGCCTGAAAAGACACAAACATAAATCCATGATGAGATTGCACACGTCCTTCAACACATCTCAATAGGTCGATTACCTCTAGTCTTATTCAGACTGCTGCCTTTACGTTATATGAGGTGAGGCTGACCTTCGCTGCACAGGTGAGTCCCTTGTAGCCTCTCCGGCAGTGGCAGTAATCAGGGAGGACACACCTCCCCCCGTTCAGACACCTCTGTTTACACACCGCTGAGGAGAGGATCCACGTTACAGGACTTTATTTAAAACATGACTACGTTATAAATAAATCTTGCATGCATGTCCTCGTCTGTTCATCAGGAAAACAAACTGAAGGATGGTAAAAAAAAATTAAGTTTTCAAACAACATAACTGCGTAGTTTTCTAATAAAATGAACTCACCTGTTTGACACTGGAGACCTTCCCAGCCGCTGGGACAGTGGCAGGTGTTTGGTCCCAAACACTCGCCGCCATTTTTACACTTCTGCAGGCAGACGGCTACGGGGAGAACAGAGAGGGAGGCATGAACAGCTTGGAGGATTAATTTATTTCAGCACAGATTGCGTTTTCGACCTGGAAACACAAATACAGACAGAAAAATACAATTCTTTGAACCAAAAAATGTGCAGCAGAACTTGAACGTTTCTTTTTAGCGGCTACAACAAGAAAAACATCACCACTGCAGAGCTCACCTGCTGATGTCAGGGAAGAGATATCTTTAAAGAAATGTAACTGCCTTCACAGAGCGGGCGCTGGACTGATGTCTCCTGTCACACGCACTGAAATGACCACCAGGACTTTTACCTGTCAGTGCCGTACTTTATTGATGGTTCAGTAAGTTTACATGTTTTAGCTTCTGTGAAGATCTCTGTGGACAAACTGGACTTTAAGTGGCCTCTGTGCTTTTTGCACTGGCAGCGCCTACAACCCAAGTTCCAGAGCACTTCTCAACAGCGCTCATTGTTGCTAGGTTACAAAGGTTAAATGGTAAATGGACTTGAGCTTGGATATTTCTTTTCTCGTCTTCTGACTACTCAAAGTGCTTTTACACCGCAGGTCACACCTACACATTCACACACTGATGGCAGAGGCTGCTGTGTACATTCATACGCCGCCGATGAAGCAACTTGGGGGTTCAGTGTCTTGCCCCAGGTTAGAAGACGACCGACTCTAGCCACTCTACCTACTGAGCCCCAGTTAACTTCTGCTTCTTTTGGACTTGACCGTTAACTTGGTTTTAACAGCCATATGTGCCTAATATTTCTCTTTATTTAAGAGAATTAAGAGAATCCTTAATACATAATATGTGTATACTATGGTAACAGTCTCCATATTATTGTGCTGTGGCATTTCTCATGTGTAGTGGATTTCTGGCAGCAACAAATATCCACACTGTTTTAGAGTGGGACATTTGTTGTGAGTAGAATCATTTTCTGTTGCAGCTCGACTGCGTTCGAGTGTCATGTGTAAGAAACTAACAAAAAGCTCCATGACGTGAAAGCATACCGCTGCATTATGTGTGTCATCGTCTGTTGTGGTGTCATCGGGGTAAAGAAGTAAAACATGGAGTCACTCACGTATGTTACACCTCCTCCCTCTCCATCCCGATGCACAGGAGCACGTGTTGGGTCCCACACACTTCCCTTTGTTCATGCACGTTGGCTCACATACACCTGAAACACATTCATTCACACAGAAGGATTACCACGTTTACTCCGCCAAACACCTCAAAATGAGACTGTGCTCGAGTAAGCAGCGGCTGTCTGTACTTACTCTTCTGACAGCGTTTTCCTGTGTAGCCTTCGGGACAGGAGCACACGTTGTTCCTCATACACTGACCTCCGTTCTTACAGGGAGGATTGCATACAGCTGAGGAACACATCGACATTTAACTGTGATGATATCTGGAGGTATTTTGCACATGGAGGACAGAAATGTAAATAAGACTCATGAACGCTGACCCATTTATGTCGTCTATATTATAAACTGTTGGAAGTGAGAGAGAGAGCAAGAGAGTGGGGAATTACATGCTGGAAAGTAGCTACAGGTTGGATTTGAACCTGGGCCGCCCAATTGGAGGGCTACAGCCTCCACACATGGGGTGAGCACACTAACCACTTGGCCACCGGCGCCACAAAAATCTGAGTTTTTTAAAGTCCTATCAGGATAAAAAATCCCTCTTTAAACCTGAGTATAATTTTGTCGACACCCCTTCAGTCAACCTTCTTTTGCATCTTCTAGCTGCTTCAATGGAAAAAAAAGCATTTCATGTTCCTGTACAGCTCTTCTGTTTCACCGCACATAACAAGTA